CTTCCCCCAATCCCATTCCTCGCGACACTTCTAGGGGTCAACCTGCTTCTTCAACTACCGCTCGGGGTCTCAACCCTCTAAGTATATGCCATAGCTATCATTCTAGAGGTCATATTTCCTCTCAATGTCCCAATCGTGCCATTGCCCTTGCACAGGAACCCCTCTTTCCAACCCCAGAGAATGAGTGTTTCACGATCGACCCTATTGACCATTCCGATGAGGATCTTGACCAATTTGAGTGTTTTGAAGAGGATATGGCTGTTGTCTCTGTTATGAGATGTATCATTTCCATCCCTATTGACTCAGACTCATGGAAGATAACTTCTATTTTCCATACATTCATCCCATGCAACTCTCGTTCATGCAAGTTAGTTATTGATCGTGGTAGCACCATGAATGTCGTATCTAAGTCCGCGGTGGCCAAGTTCGGCTTCAAGATTGAACCACATCCTCGCCCGTTTAAGATAGCATGGGTGGATCGAACCTCACTGCCTGTCACTCACCGTTGTCTAGTTCCCCTTACGTTCGGTCCCCTTTTCTCAGAGGAAATTTACTATGATGTCTTACCCATGGATGTTGCTCACGTCCTGTTGGATCGTCCTTGGCTTTATGATCATGATGTTAAGCATTTTGGGCATGATAACATTTATGAGTTTCTTCACAACTACAAAACTATTTGACTATTGCCGACGAAACCCTCGGACTCCCCGAAGAAAGTAACACCCACTTCTACACCCAAGGGTGTCATCGACGCTCTTCTTCAATTAATATCCTTTAAAGATTTTGAGCGTGAGGGTAAAGAGACCGAGCTTATGTTTTCCTTGGTTGCTAAACCAGGCTCCCAAACCACTCTTGCTTCTCCTAGTGACTTTCTTGCCCGAGGTCGATTCTTTGCTCAATAAATTTAGTGATGTTACGCCTACAGACCTACCTGATGCACTTCCTCCTATGTGGGATATTCAATATGCCATCGAACTCGTCCCTGGCTCTCAGCTGTTGAATCGACCCCATTATAGAATGAACCCTGCTGAGCGAGCTTAACACAGTAGGCAAATTGATACTTTACTCGATAAAGGTTTTATACACCCTAGTCTTAGCCCTAGTGCAGTTCCAGTCTTTCTCACCCCTAAGAAGGAAGGCTCGTGGCGCATGTGTGTGGATAGTCACACCATCAATAGAATCACCATTAAGTACCAATTTCCTATCCCCACGACTTGAGGATATGTTAGATGAGTTGGCCGGGTCTGTGTGGTTTTCGAAAATTGATCTACGGAGTGGGTATCATCAAATTAGGATAGACCAGGGGATGAATGGAAAATGGCATTCAAGACCCAGGATGGTTTGTACGAATGGTTGGTTATGCCTTTTGGACTGTCTAATGCACGTAGCACTCTCATGGGGGTCATGACCCATGTATTACGACTTTTTATTGGAAAGTTTTTTGTCGTCTATTTTGATGAAATCTTGATTTATAGTCGATCACAAGAGGCTCATTTCGCTCAGCTCTGACAGGTTTTCCTTACTCTTCGTTCTGCACAGCTATATGCTAACCCTAAAAAATGTTCATTCCTCCGCCTTGAGCTCCTTTTCTTAGGGTTTATCATTTCTACCCAGGGTATTTCTGCCGATCCCGCTAAAATCTTAGTTATTCACGATTGGCCGAAACCTTCCACCTTAACCAAAATTTGTAGCTTTCATGGGCTAGCATCGTTCTATCGAATATTCATCAAAGGTTTTAGCACTATTACTGCACCCATCACTGAGTGTATGAAAAAAGGGGATTTTCGTTGGATCCCTTCGGCCTAGAGAGCTTTCTTAGCTATTAAGCAGAAATTGATTGAGGCTCCCGTTCTACGACACCCAGATCTTTCTAAGGTTTTTAAGTTGCGTGCGATGCTTTCGGTGTAGATATAGGAGGTGCCTTGAGTTAGGAAGGTCATCCCGACACTTACTTTAGCGAAAAATTAAACCATGCTCGACAAAAATATTCCACCTATGATAAGGAGTTTTATGCTGTTGTCCAGTCCGTTCGTCATTGGCGATATTACTTATTGCCTCGTGGGTTTGTTCTATACTCTGACCATCAGGCTCTTCGCTTTCTTAATTCCCAGCATCATTTAAGTGAGCAACATGTCAAGTGGGTTGAATTTATTCGGGAGTACACTTTTGTTCTTCATCATCGCGTCGAGATAAAAAACAAAGTGGCCGACGCTCTTAGTCGTCTCACTACAATGCTTCAGTCCATGAGCACTACTGTAGTCAGATTTGATCGCTTGAAGGATGATTATCCTACTTGTCCTGACTTTGGCACCATCTTTCAGGACCTCTTAGACAATCCTTCTCGTGACCATGTTTCTTTCTTACATAAAGATGGTTATCTTTTCAAAGGTGCCAAGTTATGTATCCCCCGTACTTCATTTCGTGACTTCCTAGTCTGGGAACTATATGCAAGGGGTCGTGCTGGTCATTTCGGTCGGGATAAAATAGTCGCCTTAATCGAGGATCGATTTTATTAGCCGTCCCTTAAAAAAGATATTGCTCGCATTGTCTCTCAGTGTCGTACATGTCAATTGGGTAAGGCACAACGTCAAAATACTGGGATGTATACTCCTCTTCCTATTCCTCATACTCCTTAGCGTGACCTTAGTATGGACTTCGTTCTCGGGTTACCTAAAACAGCTCGAGGTCATGATTCCATTTTTGTGGTGGTCGATAGGTTCTCTAAGATGACACACTTCATCCCATGCTCTAAGTCTTTCGATGCATCCCATGTCGCTAAGTTGTTCTTCAAAGAAGTTGTTCATCTCCATGGGCTTCCAGTCTCTATCGTGTCTGATGGTGATGTTAGATTTGTTAGCTACTTCTGGAAGACGCTGTGGAAACTATTTGGGACGACGCTTAAGTTCTCTTCGGCATTCCACCCCCAAACCGATGGTCAAACTGAAGTTGTAAATCATAGTTTGGGCAATCTACTTCGTTACTTAGTTGTGGATAAAACAAGGAATTGGGATCTTGTGTTGCCCACCGCTAAGTTTGCTTACAATAATTTTGTTAATAGATCTGCCGGTCATAGTCCCTTTGAGGTTGTTCAGGGTTTCTCTCCTCGCTAGTCGCTTGATCTTATCCCTCTGCCCTCCAATTTTCGTCCCTCTACCTCTGCTCAAGCTTTTGCTGATCATATTCGTGACTTGCATGATAAGATTAAACGTAAAATTTCTTTAAGCAATGATCAGTATAAATTATCCGCTGATTCCCACTGTATGCATAAAGAATTTAACATGGGCGATTATGTCATGGTCTGACTTGCACATGAACGATTTCCTAAACATGTAGCCAAGAAACTTTGTGCTAGATCACTAGGGCCTTTTCCCATCATTAAATGGCTTGGAACTAATGCTTATCTACTTGAGCTGCCAACGCACTTAAATATTAGTCCCGTTTTCAATGTAGCAGATTTATATCCTTATCGAGGCACATTTGAGCCTCCAGCATTGTCGCCTAACATTTCTGCAGGATAGTCTTCGCGACTACCCCCTCGAGCTCCTATTACCACATTTTCTTTGCATGATGTTATTGATGAGGTACTTGATGATCAGTTTGTTGCTTCACAGAATGGTGGTTTTCGTCGGTTTCTAGTGTGTTGGAAAGGTCGCCCGCTTAGTGATGCTACTTGGATTGATGAAGCTGAGTTTCATTAACTTGATGCTCCACTCTTAGATGCTTATCTGGATTATACCTCGCCGGAGTCGAGTTCTTTCAGCCGGGGAGGAATGATGCAAATTGGAAAGTGTATTCTAGACGTAATCGGAATCAAATCAATTAAAGATCGCATTTTATTATTGCATTTTCTTGTTTTGGTAGAATAATAAATCTGTTTCCTTCTAAACAAAAGGAAACTCTAATTTTTTCCTTTTATTGTAACTTTCCTTTTTATTGTTATTTAGAACTTATAAATTGAGGTTCTTGGATTGTAATAAGAACACTTTTGATTATTAAATAAATCGACTATCTCCCTTCATTTCTTAGATTCTTAATCTCTTCTCTTGTATATTGTTCTTATCATTACAATCGGCATCACCATGCAGCACTCTTCGACATCAGGATATATCCTAAGATTGCCTTGAGGACATTACATTTGGAGCTAAAGACCTGGATGGTGTATCTCTTCCTCATGACGATGCCTTGGTTATTTCAGCAATTATTGCCAACTTCAAACTAAGAAGGATCTTGATTGATAATGGAAGTGCAGCAAAAAATTTGTCCCGTGAGGCCTTCAGTTTCAGAACAACAACTAAAACCTGTGAAAACTCCTCTGCAGAGATTCAGTGGGAGTGTCATCATCCCAGAGAGTGTCGTTAAGTTACCCCTCACCTTGGGATTTGATCTAAAGCAGGTAACAGAAGTCACACCTTTTCAAGTTGTCCGTGCTTTAATGGCCTACAACGCTATCCTGGGTAGACCACTGCTAAATAAGATCGAGGCGATTGTGTCCACTTTTCACCTTGCCATGAAGTTTCCTAAGGTCAGGGCGTAGGAGTTGTGCATGGAGATCAAGTAGCAGCTAGACAATGCTATATTATTAGCCTATGGGGGGATAAGTACCGATGTCATGCAACTTTTTGACACTGAACCCGACCCCGACCACTGAGGTAGGCTTTTCCCAGTCGAAGAATTGGTAGAGGTCGAGCTCGCGGTCTAGAAAAAAGTAAATATTGGTCGCGATCTCAACGAAGTCCTTATGGCGGAACTCATTGCCTGCTTGTCTCGAAACATTGTCGTCTTTGCATGGAAATTTGAACACGTGCTAGGAATAGATCCTAGCATTGCAATCCATAAGCTCAATATTAGTCCAGAAGCCAAGCCTGTGAAGTAGAGAAAGAGACAGTTTGCTCCAAAAAGACGAAAGGCCATTTGCGAAGTAATCGATAAACTTGTCAATGCAAGCTTCATCAGGGAGGTCCAGTATCCCGAGTGGCTTGCCAACATAGTTTTGGTGAAAAAGACTAATGGCAAATGGAGGGTCTGCATTGATTTCACGTACCTTACCTCGGATTGATAGCCTTGTGGATGGCACAACAGGACACAAGTTGTACAGCTTCATGGATGCATTTTTGGGATACCATCAAATTTTTATAGCTGAAGAAGATCAAGAGAAGACGTCTTTCATGGCAGACTCCGCCATATATTGTTACAAGGTCATGTCATTTGGGTTAAAGAACGCAGGGGCAACATACCAAAGACTCATCGACAGGGTCTTTGCCCAACTCATCGGGAAGAATGTTGAAGCCTATGTCGATGACATGGTGGTAAAAAGCAAGCAAGTAGACCAGCATATATCTGATCTAGAGGAAGTCTTCAGCACCCTGCAAAAGTACAGAATGAAATTGAACTCGACAAAGTGTGCATTCGGAGTAGCTTCGAGAAAATTCTTGAGATTCATGATCACACACAGAGGGACAGAGGCCAATCTAGAAAAATACAAGCCTTGGCATCCATGGAATCACCTAGGAATAAGAAAAAAGTTCATAAGCTGACAGGCCGAGTGGTCGCCTTGAATAGGTTCATGTCACAGGCTGATAGGTGTTTTCCCTTCTTCATGTTCCTTAGGGACAATCAAAAGTTCGACTGGAATGACAAATGTGAAAAAGCTTTTCAAGAGCTCAAGGAAACATTAGCCTCTCCTCCAGTCCTAACCAGACCTGAACCCGGTGATACTTTATTTTTATATTTAGTGGTCTCTCAAAATACAGTCAATAGTGTGCTAGTATAGGAGGTAAAAAAGGTCCAGCAACCAATATATTATGTGAGCAAGGTATTGCTTGACACAGAGATAAGTTATACATTGGCCAAATAGCTCGCCCTTGCCTTGGTCATGGTAGCCCACAAGCTTCTGTAATATCTCCAGTCACGTCCCGTTGTTGTGCTCACAAATCAATCCCTGAAGCATATACTCCAGAAGCCCAACGTCTTGTAAGGTTATTGAAATGGGCAATTGAGCTGGGAGAATTTGATATTGAGTTCAAGCCTCATCCTTCTATTAAGGCACAAGCTCTTGCAGACTTCATTGTGGAACACGTGTCGAGGCCTTGGGGGCTAGAGGATAGGTCAAGAAATGACACTTTGGATACCTAGGAAATTTTCGTAGACAGGGGCAGGTAACTCCTTGGGCTCGAGAGTTAGGATCATCATCATCAGCCCCGACAAAAATACGGATATTCGATGCACACTCAGATTTGAATTTGAAGCTACTAATAATGAAGCGGAGTACGAAGCAGTCATCATTGCTCTGGAGTTAGCCCTTAATCTTTAGCTTGAACATGTCAAGATTTTCAGTGATTCTAGCTCGTCGGTCAGATTGAAGGTTCATTCGAAAGGAAAGGCGAGAAAATGGGCTTATATTGTCTAAAAGATCATGATCTTCAAAGGCAATTTAAGAGCTGTGAAGTCATAAAGGTTGACAGAGCACAAAATTACAAAGTCGATGCACTGTCCAGGCTTGTGTTTGCAAGTGTTGATGGATTGGATAGGATTGTGCACATCAAGATTCTGACAGAGCTTGGTATCAGCCTGATCAAAGAAGTCATGGACATTGATCAAGAACCATCCTGGATGGATCAAATAATAGACTATATAAAAAATGGGAGCCTCCTGAGAATCCTCGAACAGCTAGGAGTATTCAATCCAGGGTACCAAGATATTGCATGATTAAAGGGGTCTTGTTTCACAAGAGCTTCACACTCTCATACTTCAGGTGACTGAAGCAATCAGAGGCGTCTCGGGCCTTGGCTGAAGTTCATGAAGGTGTGTGTGGGAATTACCAAGGAGCCCAGTCCCTTGCCTTCAAACTTGTACGATATGGATATTATTGGCCCAAAATGAGGAAAGACACCATGGACTATGTTAAGAAATGTGACAAATGTAAGAGGTTTGGCAACATCATCCATTCCCTCACTCAGGATTTCACCAACATCAACATCCCGGCCTCATTTGAGCAATGAAGAGTCGACATCCTCGATCCTTTTCCAATTGCAAGAGGGCAATTAAAGTTCGTAGCAGTGGCAGTAGAATACTTCACCAAGTGGGTAGAGGCTGAACCCTTGGTAACCATTTCAGTGTCTAAGTTGAGGACCTTTGTATGGAAGTCTATTGTTTACCGGTTTAGGATCCCCAAAGTCCTTATAACAGATAATGACAGGCAGTTTCACAACCCTCAATTCAAAAACTTTTGTGCAAGCCTTATGATTGACTTCCGACTAACGTCAGTTTTGTACCCACAGAACAATGGTCTAGCCGAGATGATAAATAGGATTATACTGCAAGATCTCGCACAAGGATTGGCGATGCTAGATGAACATGGTCAGGTAAACTACCTTCAATACTTTGGACTTACAGAACATCCCACAGGACTGCAACCGGCGAAACCCCATTCATGTTAGCCTTTGGCATTGAAGCTGTAATTCCCGTTAAGGTCAGTATTCCTAGCCTGAGGAGGCTCAAGCCTAAGGCCTCAGAATGC